TTGAACTGCGACCTGGCGTCTGTTTCAGTCCCCCAGCAGTAGCTTAAGGCAGCGTATCTTGTTTGCTGAGGGTTTTTTATGTTGGAGGACAGAACCAAGCGAGGAAGAGCTGATACGTCATGGTCGATGTCTATGAGCCTTGTAGGCATGAATGAAGACGGGGTATCAGGGTGGCACGTTGATGTGCAATGATCAAGCATTCGGTGCAACTGCTGAATGTTCGTAGGGTCCAAGTATGAAGTGATTCGCGCGGATTGGAGTTTTAGCCATTCGCAACAACCTTGAGACAAATCTTTAGCCCATGCGACCCAAGATCTGCTTGGATGATGCGACTTACCAGGATCTGCCTCAATTGAAAAGAGAGTTTGTATAACAATGTTCAACCTGGCATTGACGATAGTCCCTTCTATCATCAGCCCCTCTACATCTCTACCATCGAAGGAAAGATACGCGACCAATCTCAATGGGCCATCGTCTTTCGAATAGGATTTCGCCTTTTTTGGAAGTGTATCTTGTAGTGACTTCCGCAAAGCTCGACAGAATGCACAGCCGAGCTTAGAAGATCTAGACAAATGAGGCATGTCGGGCAGGATCTCGTCGAGCTTCCAATCGAGGCGGACCAGTTGATATTCTCGCGGTACATGGTATGGGCTCCCCTCCTGCTCTGTAGGATGCAGTTCAATTTTGGACTCCGGAAAGGATAGTCGCGCGACGCCATCTTCGCCCACTACTTCCTGACCTCCAATGGCGCCATCGTCGAAGCTGAGAAGGCTGCAGCGCTCACAGAGCGTGTCAGTCTTTGGTGTATCACTCATTGGTTCGGCTGTCGAGAACTCAGCCAGAAGGTAGGCATGCTACCAGTAATGAAGAGGGTATGAATAAGTAAGATGCGCTCTCGTGGGAAAATGGTCTTGCCAAACAGACGTTTGAAGCGAAGAGGACAGGACCCTGGTGGTGTCGTGGTAAGGCAGCTGAGCGCTGTTTCCAAGTGTAGCCTGACCAGGCGGGCAGTGCAGGTGAGATGATGTCATGGTCAGGCTGTAGGTACTTCTTTCCCAGCCAGTTCGTTTGGCAGGCACCGATCAGGACTACGAGCTAGACCAAGTTGGGCGCTCCGTGCAACCCTATCATCATTCGCAGGCCCATCCTAAAAGTGTAAATAAAGTTGATTCTATCTTGCATGGGTATATAAGTGTAAATGCCAAAAAATCGCCATCTCCCGTTTATCGTATCATACATCGTATGACCAGTGAGATCCCCGTTTACCATCTCATGACCCATCATTTCATGCGCAACCGTCCAAAACCATAAACGCAAAGAAACAAAAGTCTTACCATCATCTCACGTCACACACAACATCTCCTCCCAACCCACCGTCCACCTTACACTCCCCATAACCACAACCAACAACCCCAGCCCCGCACCCACACTCGCCCCCGCATAAACATACGCACTCCTCCTCCTCTTCGCCGTATCAATCTCCACAATCCACGTACTAACCGTCGTCAAACAGCCACAGAACCCATCTTGTATTCCTTGCAGAACCGCACAGCCAACCACACTACCTCCAACCAGGCCTGTACTGCTGAGGGGCACGTGTTGGAGGTCGTACGCCATTCCCAGGACCGCAGTACCGAAGATATTGACGGTGAAGGTGCCGAGCGGGAAGGAGGGCGCGATAGGGTTCAAGAAGAGGGAGATGTAGTAGCGCAGGAGACAGCCTGCGGGGGCGAAGACGCATGCGAAGAGGGCTTGGGAGCGCCATGTTGAATAGGGAGGCAGACACACCGTGATGATTGCGCCGAACCATACGCCCCAGCCCAGGATGACGAAAATGGGATCGCAGACCCGGCGGGTGAAGCGGAAGGGTAGGCTGGGTGTGAAGCGGTCGAGGGCGAGAGCGAGGTGTGCGCCGATGTGGAGGGCGCAGTAACATGTTGCTATTGTTATTATGATGGTGGCGAGGATGGCCATGACGGAGTATCCGCCGTTTCGCGGGACTGTGGTGGTCACAGATGGTGTGGATGTATCCGCGGGATAGGGATGGTTGATGGGACTTTTGAGATCATTCGACAGCGCGAGGAAGATGTCGCGCATGAAACTCGAGAAACTGGTAAAAGAGCCACAGAACCCTGTCGCAAGACCAATATACATCGGTATCGTCTTCTTAATCTTCCCATGCCGCGCCTTGTGTTGCGAGTGTTCAATATCATTGGCGGGATAATCGGTTGGCTCAGGCAGTTTCTCTTCACCATCATTACTATTACTGCGACTCCCCCATTCGGCAGCGAAGATACGGCGGTCTTCAGATAGGAAGCCCATTATGAATGTGCCGGCGACATTGGCCCAGAGCTCAGAGAAGATGACTGGCGCGCCGGGGTAAAATGTCAGGGCCTGTAGACCCAGACGGGCTAGCGTGCCCCATATGGAGAAGAAGATGAGGTAGGAGATGGTGTACAGCTCCGTGGCACATCTTGATGCTTTTTGCTGCCCAGGGGTGCGCTTGGAGCGCAGGTAGTGCTCTGCGTCGGTGTGGTGATCGTCGTAGCGGTGGGTGTGGTCGTGGCCGTCTTCTTGGACAGGCGACATGCTGGGCAGGGCCGTAATGTCCAGCTGAGACCCTGATGCAGCACCGGGCGCTACTCGTCCGAGTGGAAAAGAGGGTCTTCTCGATCGGTGTGGATGTGTTTGAGATGCCGGACTACCACCACCTGCATTCTCTCTCTGCGACGCCCTACTCTGCGCGCGCGTTCTGGGTGTGCGCAATGGCGTGGGAAGGTTGGGCGAATGCGCGTTGTCGTTGTAGAGATGGAGCCACGATTCTGCTCCCAGGAGGTCGTCGTCGTGCTTGCTCTCGCCGGCGCGTGAGGAAACTGTGCTGAGCGAACGGTGCTTTCCGGCGTTTTTGTCCCACCGCTTCACGCTGCTGTACGAGTGATTCCGCTGTCGCGTATACGGCACATTGGGTGCGGGCGAGGCGGTCGAGGTAGGCGAGGGCAATGGCTCGCTATCCGCGTGCTCCGAGTGGACTCTCTCGAGATCGAGGTTGAAGTCGTGCAGGCGGCGCAGGTCGCTGCGGGTTCGAGATCGCGGTTCCGGGCGGTGCGCTGACTCTTCGGAGAGGGTGGAAGAACGCAGCGACGAGCGCTGGTTGTTGAAATGCGACTCGCGCTTGGTGGGGACATCGTCGTCGTCGAGAGCAGCGTTGGCCATAGCTGCCGTCCTGGTCCCGTTTGTGCATGCAGCGTCGATGTGCAATGACGTGCGGGTCCCAAGATGAGCAGTCGCCCGTAACTTTGTAGTGTATAATTTCCAGCTCAAGACGCCGTGTGCAACTTGGAGTAACGCGCCATGCTGCTTTCTATGATGCCGGGACAAAAGTGGCGATGCCCGAGAATAAGACAGCACACGTATATCAGCCCTCCTTCGCGTCTCTCCTCCCTCCTGCGCCAAATAAGAAAAGGTCAAATCTCAGTAACCTTTGCTTATGCACATAATGGGACGAATGGCGCGCGCTTCCTTTTTCTCCGATTGGCAGGGGCTCCCCAGTCTAGCGGCACTGCACCTGCCGAGGCGTGACAAGGTTTCGTGTCACGGAGGCGCCCGACGCCATGGCATCTGTTATCGCCGGCATGTGGGGAGCTAGGCGTGACCACGCGCTTGTCTCATGCACCTTCTTGAATGGACAGTAGGTGTCAAGTTGAACACCGACTATATATTCCAGAATACCAAGACCTGCAATACTACTGTATCTTCTCTACGTAATTACACTGCGAAACCACCATGTCTGGCATCAACCTCCCCAAGAACGCCCACGTCTCAACACACCCATGTCTCCAGGCGAAGCTCTCACAGCTCCGATCCGCGAGCACAGGGTCCAAAGATGCGCAGACCCTGGTGCATGAACTCGCTCTCATGGTCGGCTATGAGGCTCTGGCCGCTGGCCTAAAGGCACAAGAGGCAGGCACGGTACGTTCACCCATTCCATCACATTTACATTCACCCGGTCACATCATGTCACAAAGTGGGGTGTATTCCACGACATATACTTATAGAAGGATTCCCATATCCCCAAATCACCCAGCCAACAACCATAGCAGCAATGCTATGCTATACCATGCCACACCACCTGCTAACATGCCGTCTCTAGGACAAATCCCCGCTCGGCTACGAATACACCACAACCACCACCTCCCCCTCACCGACCTCCATATCGCTCGTCCCAATCCTCCGCTCCGGCCTCTCCATGGTCCCCGCGCTCTCCTCCCTGCTCCCCATGCCCGTGCCCGTCCACCACCTCGGTCTCTACCGCGAGAAGTCCACCTTACAACCCGTAGAATACTACAACAACCTGCCCTACCACACCCCGCACGCAGCTGGCTCAACGAAGCCCCAACCAGAGCTTGCGATTATCGTAGACCCCATCATTGCGACGGGTGCGACGGCACAGGCGGCTATTGACACCCTGAAAGATTGGGGTGTGAAGCGGATTATCGTCGTGGCTATTCTGGCGACGGAGGAGGGGCTGCAGAAGGCGTGTGGAGAGTGGGAGGAGGGCGTTGAGGTGTGGGTTGGTGGGTGCGATAAGGGGGTTGATGAGAAGGGCATGATCAAGCCTGGGCTGGGCGATATTGGCGACAGGCTGTTTTTGACGTTGGGAAAATAAGTAAATAAGGGGATATGAATCATGATTGAATGTGAAATATGAGGCACGTATGTCATGATTTCTATCGAGGTCTGAATAACGTCGTGATGAAGTCAGGATCAAGTGATTTACTCTCAAGGTCAGGCAGGTAGTCATCAGCCCTGTCCCATCTTCAATGTCTTTGGAAGCACGACCAAAGACATGTCGTTCTTCCAAAGACATTGAAGATGGGACAGGGCTGATGACTACCTGACTGTCAATGATTCTGTTGATCATACCACCGCTCCATCCAGCCCTTAATTCCCATGCGCTGACGTATGTCACGAATGCGACAAACATCTAAACAGCGGTGTGATCAAGTTGGGATCAAGTGCTTTTCTCTCAGGGCACGCAAGTTGGGCAGCAGCAATTCCACGTCATACCAACTAATCTGGTGTTCGCCCCACTTCTTCATCCACCCCGTAATGTCCATATGCTGACATTCCAAGACAATAGCCTCGGCATCATGCTCATGCCCAATATCGAAATTGCAGTGTATGATTCCGACTCCAAGGTTCATATCGCGTACCAGCGATGGCGTTTTTTCGTACATGTAGCCAAGACGACGCCGCCGGTGTAACCATGAAGATTGGGGAAGACCGTCCTCGGATCCGTAACTCATATCCAGGGCGATTTGCCAAGCGGTATCTCTTTGGAAGATGGTTCGGAAGACGTGGTGTGCCAACTCGGGGTAAGGATTGCCGTCAAACAGCAGCGTAAAGGCGCCGGATGGCATACCCAGGGACTTCAAGGCGTTTGCCTCAGTCATCCAGCGCGCGATTGCTTTCGTTGCGAACTTTAGACTTGTGTAACTTCGACTGAATATGGTACCCGAACGAGAAAAAGGCACTTGGTCCCATCCGGGGTTGTTGAAAGAATACGCAGTCATCCAAAGATTGACATGTCGCTCAACGCGTAGGCTGGGCATCTCGCGCAGGTGAGGGATAAGGCCCCGAATGTGGCATTCCGGATGCGCAATCGACTCCCGGTCTTCCATCAGTTTGATGTTCCGGATGTTTCGGATGTGCTTGCGCACCATCATTGGAGGGTCCTCTAGAAACTTGATGGCAACAGAGGCAGCGGAGTACCCGTAGTTCGCATCGTCGTGGTAGAAACGAGGCTCATTTGCAACCACGGCAGATAATTCCGGAGTCACCCCGGAAACCTTTTCCAGACGGCTGATCTCCTTCTTGCTGGGTAGTTTCCACGGCTCAGGATACAAGCTGATGAGTTCGAAGATGTTGCGAAAGACAGTGTATTTGTGTGGTGGAACCCACAAACTATTCACCCATTTTTGGCCTGTTCGAACAAATTCTGGGTCCTTTGATATGGTCCTCAAGGTATGGCAGATGAAGTCGCGGTAGATGGATGGTGTTTCTCCCCATTCGTGGCCCTTGGAGTTCATCGTGACCTCGCATTTCGATCGCCAATTGGCGAGAATTGTCTTGAACTGTGGGTACCGGGACGCTATCTCCTCTTCCAGCTTCTTTGTCAAGAATTGGCGAGCCATCACATCTACCAAGTGGTCCTTGTAAAGATCGAGCTTGTGAATACCAGCGTGCCATAGGCCAGCATCTTGGCGTGTTTCCTCTGAGAAGGCTGTGTAGAAAATGATGCTTTTGACCTCGCAGACATGCTTCCATAGTTCATCGTAGATGGTGCGGCAGGTGTACGCAAGTGGGATGTTGACAGGCTCGCCGTTCGTAGTCATGAAGCTGTGGGTCTTCGGATCGTATACGAAGCCGTCTATGTCTGGTACGTATCGTTCGTAGATCATATCCTGAATCTCGCGGGGGAGACCTAGGAGTGCCGATTCAGGATGTGTTCTTGATCCCGCCTGGGGCGTCATCGGAGATGTCTCAGAAGGATGACGCGGATTGTTCGATCTCGGGTCGGGCAGAGCTTCGTCGCTGAGCCAGGGATTTGACTCAAGAAATAGAGTACGTTGCTGAAGAATCGGGAGCTGCTCCGATGAGCTTGCATCAGTATCTGTCACCCTGATGATGGGCACCTGAAAAGGAAAGGCGGAACTGTGATCGCTCATCATGTCCATTATGGCATAAGATAATCTAATGTCGTCGCGGTGTGAGTTGGTACGTCGCAATTTGTCGCCATAGGGGTTAAGTATTGTCCAGATTGGAGACGCATTGATGAAGAAACGGCGGCCGCCACGTCTCCAAAGACAAGGCGCCATGATCCGCACATTGATTTTGGCTGTTGCGTGGAATTTACCCGCTTCTGCATTCGGTTGTTGAAGACCTGAAGGCAACTACCCGTTGAGCGCAAAGTACAATTCCCAGTGGTTCTTACACCCAGGATTGAATGCGCTACCGCACTGCGTGCATGTGCTTCCGCTGGCCATGTATTCGGTGACGGTCAGCACATGCTTGCACTGTCCGCAAAGCACTGCGCCCTCATCTCTTTGTTCCAAGGGCCAAACTCCAGACTTGTGAGACTCGCATGCATCGTGACAGCTGATGCATGCGTAGAACTTCTGGCAGCAGAAATGCTTGATGGCGATGATGTCAAGCGGGGAGTGCCAATGGGAGCATTGCGTTAGCGGTGTAACCGACAAGCCGTGAACAGTCGGAGAGTCTTGCGTTTCGGATGACATTAGGGTACCGGCAATGTCGTGTGGTGGAATGCGGTGCTAAGGCCGTGCATGTGAAGGATTTCGGCCGGCTGTGAGGCTGAAAGCTAAGAAGCGCTGCGGGATGATCAAGTGGGTGACCCCACTCTTTCGTCATCGCTTCGTCCAGTCGGAAACACCAAGTAGGTGATGAATACTGTAATCCGTCTTTTTCTTCACGACACATATAGATGTGAAGCATACATCGTTAGATGGAAATGCCGCAATGCAACGGCATGGCTTCCGTAGCTGCCTGGCATCGGGTCCCACAGGATGTATAATGAAACGTCGCGACACTTGCCAATTCGCTGAAGAGATTTCCTATTGGATCCCCGTCCCCATTGTTTTTCAGCGATGCTTCGCTCAAGCCCGAGTTTTGCCGGGTCCTCTTACTGTAATGCACAGCTCAGAGACCTCAGACGTCACTAGCCCCGCGTCACCCCACTAAGCTGTAAGAAGTGCTGCTCCTGCTCAACAACAACAACATTCCGTGCCTTCCTCATTCACAACACTCAATCACAATCCCACACCCTTATACCCTAACGTAACATCTTTTCACGCAAACACAACCAATCCAACCGCAAACATGGCTCGTCAATTCTTCGTCGGCGGCAACTACAAGATGTGGGTACTTTCACAAGCTGTGAGTGCTTGGAGAAGATGAAGAGAAGCTGACAAGTCTAAAGGAATGGCGACATTCAGACCATCAAGTCGCTCGTCGAGAACCTCAACAAGGCCCAGCTCGACCAGAACACAGGTACGTCGAAACATATTTCTAGCGATCCGAGAAAAGGGCAAAACTCCATCACACCATCAGGATGACGAAAGACTGACACCAAGACCAGAGGTCGTCATCGCACCACCAGCGCTCTACCTCCTCCTCGCACGCGAGCACCTCCGCAAGGGCATCGAGGTCGCGGCGCAAAACGTCTTCGACAAGCCTAACGGTGCCTTCACCGGCGAGATCTCGGCTCAACAACTCAAGGACAGCGGCATCACCTGGGCTATCCTTGGTCACTCGGAGCGTCGCCAGATCCTACAAGAGACTGACGACTTCGTCGCCAGCAAGACAAAGACTGCCATCGACAACGGTCTCAGTGTAATTCTGTGCTGCGGTGAGAGCCTGGAGCAGCGCGAGGCGGGTGAGACCGTCAACGTTGTCACCAAGCAGCTCAAGGCTGTCGCGGACAAGGTCAAGGACTGGAGCAAGATTGTCGTTGCCTACGAGCCCATCTGGTGCGTCAAGCTTATAAAGATAATTTTCATGCTCAATCACTAACGTAGAACAGGGCCATCGGTACCGGCAAGGTCGCTACCACCGAGCAAGCACAAGATGTCCACGCCGCTCTCCGTGAGTGGCTCAAGAAGGAGGTCTCTGCCGAGGCTGCCGAGAAGACCCGTATCCTGTACGGTGGCAGTGTCTCGGAGAAGAACTGCGCGGAGCTCGCCAAGCAGGCCGACATTGACGGTTTCCTTGTCGGTGGTGCTAGCTTGAAGCCTGCCTTCGTTGACATCATCAACGCCAACCAGGCATGAATGCCTCGAAGCGATGCTCGTCTATAGTTGATTGGAGCGTGCTTCGGCAGCTAATGGTTATGATCTTATGAAATAAAAGAAGACTTGGCTAGGACCTATGTAGATTCAGCAAAATGAACGTCAATTGAGATCATCTGTATGGGCTCTGAAGATTTCGTGATTGTTTTATTCTTGATACATTGTTGGTACAGTGTTTATGCCTTTTCAACCAGTATGTACCGCTACCATATTCTTGGGCAGGCCTGAAAAATGTCGGGTCCTTCTGCATTGGCGTCACAGAAGCAGAGCTTTGGCCGATAGGCACCACGCCTTGCCCTGATTCTCGCTGGATATCTTTGCGTATAGTATTCGTCTTCACACGTCTTCCGTTCTTCATAAAGTGACTTTGCTGCCGTGGAACGGACTCCAGATGCCCCTAACGTTCTCGTTCAGACTCTTTACTGGTCGTCCATCCAGCCTCCTGTTCTTCTCTCCTGTGCTGTTCCTTAACATCTCTGCCTTTTCCCTCACACCCTCATTCTGCAGGTTCCTCACACATATTGACCGTTGAGCACCGTTGATGTAGTTTGCGATAATAACGGGGTGGTGGCGTGGCCGTGGGCTGACGGAGATTTCGATCTGGGGGTTGCGCTTGGCGAAGGCGGGGAGAGAGGATTTGAGAAAGGCGTTCATGCCCTTCGACGACCCCCACCAGTTGCAGTAGTGGAAGGTGATGGACTTGCAGGGCAGGACAAAGGCTCCTACGCCGTTCTGCGGTCGTAATTAGCATCGAGGATGACAAATGCGGGAACGGATGAACCCGCGAAAACATACCTGAGCCTTTGCGACCGTCTTGATAGCCGAGAGAGGCATGTTGGCGGGCAATTGCGGTGGTGACAGCGGTGCTTTCACCAATCTCAAAGTCCAGAGTCGGGCCCGGATCTCACGTGCGGCGGTCGCAGCCTAGGTTTGCGCTAGTGCGAACTCCGCGTCGCAGCTTCCTCGAACGCCCCAACTCCCAAACATCGACTTTCATCGTCGCGCCCTCCACTCCTCATATTCCAACTATTCCACATCGCCGTCTGGAGCGCATTCCAGAAACAAACTCGCAAATATGACGCATCTACTCCCCCCGATGCTGCTGAACCTGTTCGCCCCGCGGCCGCCGCTGCGATGGGTCGAGCCTTCCGACCACGCGCCTGAGAAGCGCTGCACGCCCAAGATTGGCGGCATTGGCCAGTACATGGAGGCGCTGAGGGAGTACAAAGACAACGACGGCTACGTCCCCACCGACAGCTGGCTGCAGAAGCGCGATCGCAAGAAGCTCGAAAAGAAGGAGAAACAGGAGTATCTGCTTACCGAAGGGGTCAAGGATTGTACGACATCACCGCGCGCGCTTACGCTATCACTTGCGCAATTGTTATTTGCATCACGCACTAACATTATCTAGACAAACCCGTCGAAGATCCCAAAGTACAGGGCGACGCCTTCAAGACGCTCTTCGTTTCTCGCCTATCCTATGGCGTCACCTCCGATGACCTCGAGCGCGAATTCGGCCGCTACGGTCCCATCGAGCGCATTCGGATCGTTGAAGACGTCACCCAACCCGCCGACGCGCCGCCCAAGAAGCGAAAGCGCGGTTACGCTTTTATTGTCTTCGAGCGCGAAAAGGACATGAAGGCTGCATACAAGGAGACAGATGGCATCAAGATCAAGGATCGACGCGTGCTTGTGGATGTCGAGCGCGGCCGTACAGTCTCTGGATGGCGCCCGCGTCGCTTCGGTGGCGGTCTCGGTGGACGAGGCTACACCAAGGGCCCCTCTGCTCGCGGACCAAGCGGAGGAGGCAGCCAATTCGGAGGACCTCCAGCCGGCCCTGGTGGCTTCGGAGCCCGCGGCGGTGGCTTCGGTGGAGGTTTCGGCGGACGAGGTGGTGGCCGTGGCGGTTTTGGCGGCGGATTCGGGGGTGACCGAGGAGGCTTCGGCGGCGGACGAGGAGGTTTCGGTGGCCGCGGTCGAGGCGACTTTGGTGGTGGTCGCGGAGGTATCGGCTACCAGTCCAACGGCTATGGACCTCCCGATGGCGCCCCTGCTGGCCCCCGTGGTCCACGAGGTGGTGGCTTTGGCGGCGACCGAGGAGGCGGAAGTGGATTCGGAGGCGACCGCGGTGGAGGCGGAGGACGATACGAAGACCGACGCGGCGGCGGTGGTGGTGGCTACGACCGAGGATCCAGCGGCGCTAACAACGAACCGCTCGGCAGCAGAGATCGATACCGCGACCGCGACGGTGGGTACGGTGGTGGAGGCCGAGACGACGGCTCGAGGAAGCGCGGCTACGAAGGCGACAGCTACGACGACCGAAGCCAGCGCCGCAGATACTAGGCCCGCTCGATGGCTCACGTATCTTCTGCAAGGGTTTGTCAAAGGTTACCTCCCCTTTCTTCGCCTCACCCTTTCTCGGCTCTGAGGGTAAGATCGAATTTGTTCTGCTCTTGACGTTCGACCATTCAACACTGCGTTACAGGTCAGGATGGTAAGGGTTGTCGACGTGTCTCCTCTAGGCTTTCGATCGGTCATCACATTCTCGGCGACTAGCACTTCACGTCTCGATCTCGACTCTTCGGTAGGGACAAGGTACAGCGTCATCCTTCAGTCGACTACAGTCACGATCTTCATCACTCCCAGGTTTCGCACAGGTTTGGTAG